CTTTAATGATGAAGTGCGCTATTTTCAGAAAGTATATTTTTTTAAAATTATTATGTTTATTTCTTTTACCTATTTATTTAAATAAATCATGCTAAATATGATTGTTAGCTCTCGTTTTGGGGATTATGTAGCAATGGTAGAACTAATATTTAGTCTGCCAAAATTAGAGAGCTAAACATGTTTTAATAATCGACTTTGTCGTCGTGTCATATATAGAATATATTGAGTATCGAGTGATCGATACGATAGAACATCAACAACTGCGCAATAACGAAAGACAAAAAGATAATCACGAGATGAATCATAGTTGAGAGATTACGTNATAGTTTTTGATATAGATGTCTCATTTTCGAGTCGTCGGAAGCCATCGAATAATTGCAGAGAAGAAGATTTGAACATGGGTACTTACGATTGATAGTCATTGAACATCTAAACTAAATATGAATTATTTTTCTGTTGTGAAAATTCCCTTTTCAATTCTTAGTAAGATAAGACTTCCACTATTTTATTAGTTTCTAACAATTTTTTAAAATTTGAAACGAAAGTTGTGATTAAACCAGATCATGTTTTTCATGTCCCTAGTCTCGAATCTAATTTTATTTTCAAAATCTGATGGCGTACGAGCAGTGTAATTTGTATTTCTAGTTGATAAACAGTCGCGTTTCATGAAAAGCTATACAATAAATATTGGTAAAAAAGAATTTCAAAGACTCGATGATACAGTTTTGAACAGTTGAGTGTTTTTCCGTATGCGTTCACTTGCTGATTTAAACGATTGTATTCAGTCATTAAATGCATTAAAAATACATGTCAAACATAAATCCATCTATTAAGTTAGTTGAATGAAAGAGAGATATGCAAATATTGTTTGAATGGCTTTTATCAAATTTGAACTGACTTTTATACTAGGAACTGTTATTATATTACACTTGCTTGTGTTAGAGAACTCTATACGGTTCTTTCGATGTTTCTTTTTCCAGAGTACTCGAAATTTCGATAGTTATCGGAATATCTATAGCTCTTCGACGAGTCGGTTGCATCTTTTCGATAGGACAATTTTCGAGTGTTCGGAATTCGATAGTTTTCGATGGGCTCGGAATGGAAACAAAACGAATAAAAAATATATAGTTCACATTTTCGAGGGCTCATCGCACGCATCGTATGTATTTTAGTGTCTGCTTGGGTACTCGAAAACAATAAATAACGTTGAATAAGGCCCTGAACTTAATTTTCAAAACAAAGAATATTTATTTATTAGTGTTGCGAACGATTGAAAAGTGCTTCATAGTAAACAGTTATTCATGAAGGTATCTGTAAAAATCTGATTTTAAATGAATAACGAACATGTAATTTAATAGCTACGAAGATTTGAATAGGTGACAACTATTAAAATAACTATGACATGTTTGAATAAGGCATATGATGTGTGTCGGTGTTCATTTGACTGGTACCCACACTACTTGCTGAAGAGCTTGCTTTAAACAACCCTTTGGCGGTTTTAAATCAGTCAAGACTCAAGTGATTATTTAATGAATCGGCTGGGCGATTAATGATCAACGTATTTCATGAAAAATTATCATTTTTTACACAATATCGTCTAACCAAGGAAATTGTTGCTACTATCATAGCCAATGATCTATTTTTATATTGTGAAATGAAAAACATCGATATGATGCATTGAGTGCTGTATCTCATAATCCAATGGTATATTTATTGGCAGATCTGCTCGATCAATTTGTTCATCATGATTTCGAGCAAGATAAAAACTTTAGCTGCTCAATTACGTAAACATGTATGTAATCATGCAAGAGATACACAATAATTTCAATATGCATTTATACACACAAGTAGTCTAGCAACACGCCACATCTATATAAAAAAAGGATAGAAAAGAAATGAGAATTCTTGATCCAGCAACTTGGGTATGAAAAAAGAAAGATGATGATTTGTCACGCCCAGTTAAAGATTATCTAGGCACACCAGTTGTCGATATTCTTATCAATCTGGACGGTCAAAAATAACGTAGCTAAAGATCAATTTTGTTTTTCAAATAAACAATATTCAAAACTTCTAAGTAACAACTAATAAATAAGAATAAATGTAGGAATATTGACAATAAAGATTTTTGTCTATTAAATTTTCTTGGTAAGTTAGAAAGAATCAATCTTTATAATAATCTTTCAACTTAAGCTAGTGGAACATTCTGAAACTGTGAACCCATTCATACATTATTATTTTGAAACTTCTACATTTCCAAAATTTTAGTAAACAAATATTCTAAATGGCTATGTTCTTATGACCAAAAGAGGAGCTTTCTTCTAGTCGAACTCAAGCAGGTTCAGTAGCCTCGGTCTGGCACTCTGAAAAAAATCGTTTTGTGGAACTCACATATATTTTCGAACAAAATAGTGAGTGTAAGTTTTAAAGATGAAGTTTTCTCAGCTTTCTCCCCCTCCCCCTCCCCCCATTACAGACCTTAGCAGTCGACAATAATAGGCGTCAAATTTTTAAGTTTTTTGTTGAAATTGATCAAACTATAATTTTGAAAAATAATGAACACTATTATTTGTAAGTTGGTTCATATATATGATGGTGCGTAAGATCTGCTGTAGACATCATGAATATGTAAAACAGACTTATTTGTCAATTATTTCAATGATCATAATAATAAGAATGTTAAATTAAGAAAAACGAAAGGAAAAAAAATGAAAAAAAATGAGCAAATAGCAACAATGAAAACAAAAAATAGGGCGCCCGTAAAAAGAAATAAAATTCTTTTCGAAATGCAAAAATTAGAGAGGTTCTTATTTCAGTGATTGATTATCCTGCAAAACAATAATAATCTACAAGAGATTTTTCATTTCACGTTTGTTGTATTAGTTTAGTGAGCCTAGAGAGTATATGGGAGTTCCACATTTCAGTCCCCAAGGGGCTGCGCTAACAAGCTTTTTTGAAAGGTTCATATCACCAAGAGAGTTTGTTCAAAACTTGTGAATTTTTTTGTGCAAGGTAGTCTAGTTGAATTCTCTATATGTGCCAACTTTCAGATCAAAATTCGAAAATACAAGTTTTCCAAAAATTTAGAGGCTCTAGAAAAAAATTCAATAAGTTAGTCAAATCTCAATAGAGATCTGAATCCTTTTAGAGTTTTTGTTAGAACTCTATTCAGTATCTAAAGGCCAAAATTTATTCAAATCAGAAAGAGACATTTGAGGAGATTCCATCGTTAGCAATGACAATATCAACTTTCCTCAAATGAGCTACAATAAAAGACAAATTCGAATTACACTAAAGATATTATTCAAGTTAATTTTGCATCTTGATCTTTTCTTTGAATCCATGAATGATGCTCCCCGGACAATTGCTCCCGCGACATTTGCTCCCCGGACAATTGCTCTCCAGCGATAGTTGCTCCCGCGACATTTGCTCTCGCGACATTTGCTCCCCAAGGACAGTTGCTCCCCAATGACAATTGCTCCCCGGACACTTGCTCCCTAGTGACATTTGCTCCCCTATGGCATTTGCTGTCCAGACAGCTGTCTCGCAGACACATTTACGCTCCAATTTCACTTGGCCTTAAGCTACAGTTTTTTGTTGATAAATTCAATATAATTTTTTAAAAACTTAAAAATTAGTAAAATCATGAAAAGAATGAGATGATTAGAAATTAATGCAGAATTTAAGATTCCTGAAAACTCCTGAACTAATTTTACGTATATAGCTTATTTTGCTGCAATTTTATCGAAATCTCAAAAAGTAGCAGCACGGATCTATAAACATAAAGAACATAGAACAAATGAAATAGGAAAATACGCTAGATTATCAAGGGAGTTATCACAAATGGGTGGGCGTAGAGATGTGGGCGAATGCGATTGTAGATACAGATCTTTTCTTTACTCACACTCGCACACCACAATTGTACGGCACACCCACCTACACACCCCACACCCACATCTACGCTGCATCCGTACACCCAACATCCATACCCTACGCTAACACACCACACCCACACACTTTTTTCCATAATTTTGCCAACTTTTAAGCTCCCCCCTCTCCTCAAAATTCGATCCCAGCTTCAGAGCATCGAGATAGCATGAAACTTTGTGGCTATGTTGGGGGTGTAAAAGTGCATCTGTGATAAAATTTTCAGCCTCCTACCCTGATATATATGGTAGATACAAACCAAACAAGGGTCGAAAAATGGCTCATCGCAGCTCCCAAATTTCCCCACGGATGTTCATTCAATTTGGTCCGTTGGTTTTTCATTTGAAAGAGCATGCCAGAATGCAGTGCCTATGAGAGCCTTTTTTTTATTCTTATTTTTAATAAGAAAAAAAGTTTCACAAATTCAATCAGTCAAAAAGTCCTCAAAAAAATCCTGCTTATATTATAAAGTTGCTTTTCAGTGTAATAATAAGAAAACTTTATCAAAAAGAGGGCCCTCACAGGAACTGCATTTTGACATGCTCTTTCAAACAAAAAAATATTTAACTTTATATCGGATAATAATTGACTTCTTTGGGGGCTGTGTCGTTCGACTACCACTTTAAGGAATAAAGAAAAAAATTTTTGAATTTTTTTAAAAACCGCTGGTTTTCGAATAGGGGTTGTCAAAAAATTTTTAAATTTTTGGGACAAAAGGAGGTAACGAAAAAGAATTTTTATTTTTTATATAAGGGTAAATGACAGGCTATACCCCTATGTATTTATCTCGATTTCCATGATTCTGACGAGAAGTGACTTTTTTGAGGGGGCCTTAAGTTTTTAAAAATTATATTGAATTTATCAACAAAAAACTGTAGCTTAAGGCCAAGTGAAATTGGAGCGTAAATGTGTCTGCGAGACAGCTGTCTGGACAGTAAATGCCATAGGGGAGCAAATGTCACTAGGGAGCAAGTGTCTGGGGAGAAATTGTCGTAGGAGAGCAAGTGTCCGGGGAGCATCATTCATGGATTCATATTTTAGTGCGAACAAAAACTGATATGTTGTTTTCTGAATTTATGAAGAAAAAGTCCAATAACGAACATAGGGACGATTCAATCAATGATTATGATTCTAAAATTGCTCTGAGTGACACCAGACAAAATGCTTCAATTAGTTCTGATCGTGAACGTCTTTCCGATAAAATATACTTAACAGCAGCTGGTTGCGATGATATGTTGAAAAATTCGCCTCTTTTCACATTCGATTTGGAAAAACTGAAAAAGAAATTAATTCGATTGGCTATTAAAGATACTCGAGTTGAACGTATGTTTAAAATAACTTTCTCTGCTTTTACAACTACAATCAACACATGTTTTCGTCGTGGATACATAGTTTCCTCAACACGTTATCAATGGATCGCTGCTGCATGTAGTCTCATTCCATTTCTTGACGAATTACCAGCTTTCTATGGGCGTGAAAAAATCCGTCAAGCCTTTGGCATTCATGGCAATTCTACACAGACAAATACATCAAACAGCACAACAACCTCTATTGAAAAATATCTGATAGAGAAAAAGTTTACTGTACCCAAAAGCTACTTGATATCCGGCTGTTTTGAATATCTTTGGTGTAGTAAAGAGAAGCAATCAATGTCAAACGTCACCAAAGATTCTAATGAATCTTTTCAATTGCCAGAAACATGGAACTCCAAAGATAATAGTGTTATGTCACAAAATACTAAAGCTTGCATTGGTCATGCTGCCTACACCGCAATTGGGCGAACTGCTCTCGTTTTAGGTGCCATCGGGAAAGCATTGGACGATGTACTCCCAATCGTAGTTCCGGCTTCAGTTGCTGCTTTGCGTGCTGCTTCAATTGCTGGTATCGTGATTGGTGCTGTATTGACTCCAGCGTTTGCTCTATGGTCATTCTATTCTACTGGAAAACGAATGAACGAGCATCTACATGTTTTATGCGATGATTTACTTGTCATAGCCGCATATTTTCTTGCTGCAATATATAATAGCCATATTAATATTACACGATCGCCTGAGATTTTGTCATTCGAACAGGCGCTTTCAGGAGCTGATGAAAGTTCTTCCGATGAAGAGTAAAGTTATGATAATTATTGTCGTACTCATGATTCTTTTTCGAGAGGGTAAATATTGTGTTGCATGTTTTTCTTAAATATTGGTGTGGGGACTTACCAGGGTTTGAAACGGTCGGTCACGCGCTTTTCTTGTATTTTTTTGGTTTTTTCTAAAGTATAAGCTGGTTTAAAAGAATGAGATTATTTTAACATGTTTGGCAATAGAAAAAGCATCTGAATTTCAAGTATGATTAAAACGATAAACTAGAACACTTGCTAAAAATACCGGTGTGAGTGTGGGTATGGGTGAATGAATGTAGATGTGAGTGCGGTTCGGTTGTGTTGAGTGTAGCTCTTCACATAACCTTCCAACCCATACACGCTGCACGGCGAAATCCTGATGTATTTTCAATTACAATGTCGTTGAAATAAACAAATACTAACGTATTCTATCTCTATTAGAATTCTCTTTATATATTTATTGTATTATTACGTTTTTTGCCAAAGCATAGGAAACTAAAAAAATTGAATTTCATTATGAATGTGAATGTGGGCTTTGACGTTCTCGTCACATCTAAAACCCATATACCCACACCCACACCCACCCTCACACCCACACTTCGGTAACATGCACAATATTTTCTTACATCAAAAAGAACAAAAAGATTTCATTTTTCTATAGAAACAGAACAGAAATAGAGAATTCGTTGCATGTTTATACTTTTATTTCAATAACCATAAAGTCCTTACTAAATGAGTTATGTTTGTATTGATTTCGAAATACATGATGCTATCAACACTATTTAGAGCAATTTATAATATCAAGTCATTACTTTCAACTAATTGTTATAAATAGAGCATACAAAATTATCTTAAACCAATCAATACACAAAACTTTTATTGAATTTTTGAAACATATATTACCTTTTCATCATTAACAAGTTCAATTTTTAATATTATGAAATATTTGAACATTAGAATACTTTTCTATTGAATCAAATGTATTTCACTATCTATTTCAATGAAAACCCTTATTTATCTATTCTTACTTGGATAATCTTTGCTTTTATCTCCACAAGTGATGTTTTTCTTTCTCGAAGATGAAACTGATACGCCTATGCATAGTAGTTTATGACCCTATAAACGGTTAACCAATTTTTAGAATAGAAAAGATCCTCAATAATGATTCTCTTGCTTTCAATTGTATTTAATATATCATTCAACTAAATTTATATATAAAAAAAATTCATGACTGAATAACAAAATATTCATAATAAAATCGAGTTACAGTCCATGTTGACAACAAACACTCTTCCAAGGCTTTGGCAAGATCAAGCTTATTGCTATGCTTATCATATTCATAGGAAACGTGTAATGTTCGCAGATTAATCATAGAATAAATTAAATCCAAAATACACTTGAGTTTTTCGACTTCAATAAGTAGTACTCGACATTGAATACCTATTGGTGATCGACTTAATTCTAAACATTGTTTACTAGTATAACGATGATTATAACTAGATTGACCAGAATTTTGTAAATTGAGCCGATGAAATGATGCAGTGGTACACTGATATGGTGGTGATGTTGAAGAAGTGTTCCGTGCTTCAAATGACAATAAGTATAGACGCAGTGCATTATCAAACAATGCTTGTAATTGCCATTGATAAATTACCGTTGAAATGACTACATTAAGTGAATGTAAATTTTCCAATTTGGGAACCCTTGATAAAAATCGATAATCAATCGGAACATGAAGATATAACACTTCAATATTGTTGAGATGAACATGATGGAGTGCTTCATCATTGAAAATCGGTGGTCCATATGCTAGGTTACGAACAGAATCGTAGGAAAAATGCATTTCACGTGGACAAGTCGATGTTGTTTTAGAATTTAATTCAGTATAGAAAACAGGAAGATATTCAAATGTACAAGATAGTGAATAAACACGAATCGAAATAGATTCTACCCACCGTCTCCAATGACATCTAATAAACCATTGATGATGTTCGATACGTTGCAAGGTATTGATCAATTTTTTCTTCATCAATTTGATCATCAATCGAATGACCGAGATTTAAACTCATCATATATTGTAAAACGTTCAGTTTAGGTAAATAATTACTAATAATTTGTTCCCATCGATGTGCATCGATATTGAGAGAAAATATTTCAACTTTTGAATGAGTAACATTAGGTAATAAGTGAAATAGATTAGTCATTAGACGTTGTGAACGTACTTTAGATAGAGCAAGTTTTTTTAATTGAGAGATTCTTAAATGATGGTATAAAGTCAGGAACAAGAGGAAGATCATCTTCTTCATAAGTACTTAATGATGTTGAAAGTTTTAGTAATTGAGGTGTCTTTTCGAAGAAATCAACAAATTTAGACGAATACCAATCAGTCTTACAAATAGTTAAATATCGCAAAGATGTTGGTACGACAGCAGGAATGTCAAAATGGCGTTCAGTTTTAAAACTGCAATCCCAATATAATGGAGTTAACTTCGATAGATTCCAGATTTGATCTATTACATGTTGAAAATCTTCTATGTCGACGTGAAACAGTCGACAATTGGCAAATTTCAGATGTACTAATTAATATAGACGATATAAGTCGGAAAAAAAACGATTGATTAATCTTCGAATCTGAACTAACACAGTAACATGTTAGAGAACGAAGACTATCAAATCAACCTAACGTGAGACCAGCTGATACAAAATGAGTATATTGATATAGTGTTTCCTCATCGTTGGAGAGTCGTAGATAAATTGTACGATTAAATATCGATGGAAGATATACTCGACAGAAAATACTATAATCTTCTTTAAATATGAACGAAAATCGAAATGATAATTTCGAAAATAGATAAGTAATAGAGAATTCAAGCGAGTATTAAAACCATAAAGAGCACGAAAAAGATTAATTGCATTAAATAGTTCGAATACATCAAGAAACAATTCATTGGTAATGACTCGACCATCATCTTATTCATTGTCATTACTGTGTTAAAATATCAGAATAAAAGATTCAATACTATACAGCATAATTCATTTGAAGATGTAAAATCGTCCAACATGAGATGAACTTAGGAAAAGAATTGTTTAGAAGTTATTGATCGATTTATTTCATATCTTCACGCTATAATTTTTATCGTTCATATATTCACCGAGCACATACATTTATTGAAGAAAAGAACGAAAAATCAAACGTGAAGGTCAGGCAGAAAGGGAACAAAAATAAGATAAATATAGAAAAAAAAAGAAACTTTTTGACGAACTGAGAGAGTGTCGCCTATGTCCATCGACACGATAGTGTATTTTACTATCTGCTCATCTCTACTCGTTTTCTTCCTTCCTTCATATCATGTTATATAGCAGAGAAAAAAAACGATTATTCATGACCAGACAATAACAAAGAGGACACAGACATACAATAGAACAATGAAAGACTCACGTCGGCAGATGAATGGTACCGACAGTATACTCGATTTCTTGCAGCACTAAAAGACAGAGTGACTATTTGAAAGAGAATAGGAAGGGTGTGGGTGGTAGTATCGATGAAGAAATGACCAACATCCCTCATCCTATTTAAGAAGAGAAATCTATCAGTTAGAGAAAACAATTGGAGCTAAAGTTGGGCATGTTTTTATCACAAAGATCGTTGTAACAAAAGAAAACAAAATCTAATGCCTATTCAGAAAAAAAAGGCGGGTGGATATTTTTTTAATAACTTTGTACCACAACCACCTATCGAGTTCGGGTTTGCGTCGTTTGAAAGAGGCTTACCTAGCACATCGATCCATATAAAATTGTTGATGTTCATTTTTATGAATAAGTAGTGATCTATGGTCACCTTGAAAGCGTTGGCTGTTGTGCTATAAAGATAGAATGAATTTTAAGTTTTGAGGAGTGGACTAGAATCAGCACCTGAGAGCCTACAAGTCTACGAAAGGCCGAAGTTTTTATCTCAATTCATTCAAAAGTTATGAACCAAATATTGATGGTATTTGACCGAACTTTTATCGAAGGGTCTGGGTGTGTGGGTGTGGGTGTGGATGGATGTGGGTGTGAGTATTAATCAATGCTAAATCCACATCCATACCCACATCCACACCCTCTAGCTAGTAATGATAGTTAATATTATTAAGAATTATTCATAATATATTATTAGAAAGCGTCTAACGATGACTTTTAGATACTTCTTCCAAACTTTGAAAAGCGGCATGAAAACAGTAAAAATGTGAGAGTCATACCGACAACCGTTTCAAGCGGTATGTAAACGGTCACCGTAAAGGACATCGTTTATTGACGTATTTCTCCATTTTACGGTACGCCGTAAACGATCGTTGGGTGTGGGTGGGTGTTGATGTGGATGTTGGTGTGAATATTCTTTTCATTCACACTGACATCCACAAGCCCACACCCACATCCACATCCCCATAACAGATGATTACTAGATCGAATTTAGTCCAGGATCAAGCGAGTCATGACGATGAGTATTACCTGTTAAAGAGGATCGATAAAATATCTATTAAGTAGTGTATGAAAAAACTACTAATTTAGTCCATTATTATATCAGACAAAGATACTCAGTAATGTATTTGATAACATCCTACGATACAATTGATCAATAATCTCTTTCGTTTCTTTGCACAGTTTAATTTTGAACCTTGTTGATGCCGACGAATCACAACGAAATACATGCCTTCTGCGATGTGAGGACAAAGTTTTACAACAACCAAACAATGAGAGCAACATATATTTATTCTATTTATGATTTTTCGTTTTTCTTTTCTTTGAATGATGACGCATTCATTTATTCATTCTCGTTCTTGTTCTTCCCTCCTTCCTTCCTTGAGTCATAGAGATTTCGTCGTCAGCTTGTCAACACTCTTGAAACAAACGAACGACAAGAAGCTTTTAAAGTGACAAACAAAGCGCACATACTACTATAGCAATCGACCAAAAAATAGTGTCAACAAAATGAAGAAATGACAGTATTTATATATAGAGAGAGAGAGACAAAATTTTGCTTGCTGTATTCATTCATGCATCATGGATAAAGAAAAGTCGACAACAACTGCTGCTAATAGCTTCTCCTCCGGATCCACTATAAAAAAGCCCAATAAGTTATCATCATTATCCTCGTCTACTGCTAGTGAACCATCACCAGTAGCCGCAGCCATCACCACTACCAACAGTACTGCTATGCTGCCTGGTCGAGTTCATCGCATTCTACAAAATTTCCTTCTTATCTGGCTCGATACTAATATTGATGAGTCAAAGCAAGATTTTATAAATTCATTAACGCAGCTACGACACCTCGTGGCATCAATCACAACATTTACAGGTGCACAAGAATGTGTTAATTTCCTCAGAGACATTAAAAAAGAAAAAGTATTTATGATTGTGTCTGGTTCATTGGGACAACAAATCCTACCGGAAATTCATGCATGGCCACAATTAGATTCTATCTATGTATTTTGTGGAAATCCATCACTCCATGAACAATGGGCCAAAACAATGTTTAAGGTAAAGGGTGTTCATAATGATATCGAGCCAATTTGTAAAGCATTACAAAGCGATCGTGAACGATGTGATCGATCTTTGATCTCGATCAGTTTTCATGGCACTGATGCGTTGTTTATGTACACGCAGTTGGTCAAAGAAGTCCTTTTGGAAATCGATGATGACGACGCTAAATCCATCAAAGAACTCGTTGAGTATTGTCGTCTTCAAGATGATATTGCTGAAGACGAGATTAAACAGATCGAACAAGAATATCATAGTCATACACCCATTTGGTGGTATACTGCACCATATTTTATTCATTCGATGCTCAATCGAGGCTTGCGGGTACTTGATGTCGATATTATTCTGAAAATGGGTTTCTTTATTCGGCACCTACATCGACATATTGAACAATTGCATCGCCAACAACAATCGAAGGCGCCAACGGGACTACTTCAAGTATATCGAGGTCAGGGTTTATCTCTTCAAGACTTTGAAAAGATGAAACAAACCAAAGGAGGACTTATGTCTTTTAATAATTTTTTGTCAACAAGTCGCAACCGTGACATTTCTCTAAAGAATTTTGCACGCCCGGCAGCACTAGACACTAATTCAGTTGGCATACTCTTTGTTATGACCATCGATCCAAAAGTCTGCGACGCATCATCATCATTGACCCCTTTTGCCGACGTCACAAAAGTTAGCTACTACCAGGGTCAAGAAAAAGAAACTCTTTTTTCAACACACACGATTTTTCGCATCGATAAAATTGAACGGATCGTGGATGACCATACTGATCGCCTATGGCAAGTTAATCTCACCTTTACAGGCAACGACCATCATGATTTAAATACACTCGCGGCACACATACGCAAGAAGCTCAGCTTGATGACAACAGGATGGTCTAGACTGGGTCGTATACTTAGTAAAATAGGACAGTCTGCAAAAGCAGAACAACTCTATCAGCTTCTCCTCAAAGAAGCATCTTCCGATAACGATCAAGCGAACTACAATTCTCAACTTGGTCGAGTGTATGTTCAGATGGGCGAGTTCTCGAAAGCACTTTCATTTAACGAACGAGCACTCGTTATCCGGCAAAAAGTTCTTTCTCCAAATCATCCTTCCTTGGCTGATTCCTACAACAACATCGGAATGGTGCATGAAAAAATGGGCGAGTACTCGAAAGCACTTTCATTTTACGAACAATCACTCTATATCGAGGAAAAAACTCTCTCTCCCAACCATCTCAACTTGGCTACTACCTACAACAACATCGGGATGGTGTATGATAAGATGGGTGAGTACTCGAAAGCACTTTCATTTTACGAACGAGCACTCGACATACGCCAAAAAACGCTTCCCTCGAACCATCCTTCGTTAGCTTCTTCTTACAACAACATCGCGATGGTGTACAGTCACATGAACGAGTGCTCAAAAGCACTTTCATTTCACGAACGAGCACTCGACATACGCCAAAAAACGCTTCCCTCGAACCATCCTTCCTTAGCTTCTTCTTACAACAACATTGGGATGGTATATTATAAGATGGGCGAATACTCGAAAGCACTTTCACTTTACGAACGGGCACTCAATATCGACGAAAACACTCTCCCTCCGAACCATCCAGACCTTGCTAAATCCTACAACAACATCGGGATGATGTATGATAAGATGGGTGAGTACTCGAAAGCACTTTCATTTCACGAACGAGCACTCAATATCCGCCAAAAAACGTTTCGCTCGAATCATCCTTCGTTGGCTTCTTCTTACAACAACATCGCGATGGTGTACAGTCACATGAACGAGTACTCAAAAGCACTTTCACATCACGAACGAGCACTCGATACCTGGCAGAAATCTCTCCCTGAAACACATCCGCATATTGTAAAATCGAAACGAAACATAGAGTCTGCGAGGAAGAAAACATAGCTGGTTTGTTATGTCACAATAAACTTCGTTCATTTTTTCTAGGTTCATTAACTAATTGGTTTCTCTATAGAATACTTCTATTAGTGTTTCGAGAGACCAGAAAAAGTCTACTGGGGCAGTAGAGTGAATGATGGCAACACAGGTCATAGGAATTGTAGATGTATATATATCGTACGAGAAGGCGACAGGAACGAACATGTGTATCCGATTCCTCTCCACACACTTCGGTGTGTGCTCACAGGGTGTGGGTGTGAATCTACTCCTCGAAGGCACCCATACCCACTCGAAGACAGAAATCGGTGCAGAAATCCTGCTTCTGGAACTTCCAGGAAATCCGTCTAATCCGGCTGTTTCCTGCCGTACATCTTCGACCTGGCATGACGAAGATAGGCAATCTTACTGTATATAAAAGATATCATATATCACACTCATCCAAGCTCAGCGACACTCTTCTTTATTTGTTTAACTCTCGAACACTTTCTGTGAGTCCGACCGGACCCACAACATTGTTTTTTGTGTTTCTGCTACGTTAATACTTATTACTTTTCAAGCGATCTCTTTGCTAAGCGTTAGTCTTCTCACGATGCACAAAGTCATATCAAGTTGCATGTATAAGTCCTACAGAAAAAAAAACTGATGGGCGAATTTGTATGGACACACAACGAAGACACCGTTGGAGGACTAAGTGGTATGAATAAGGCATTACTATACATACATCTACAGATTCATCATGCACTCTATTTTTGTGGAACTCACATATATTTTCGAAGAAAATAGTGAGTGTACGTTTTAAGTTTGAGGTTTTGCGGCTCTTCCCACTCCTTACAGACAGGCCCCTATTACAGACTATAGCAACGGAACCCCCATTACAGACCCCACCCCACCATTACAGACTATAGCAACGGAACCCCCATTACAGACCCCACCCCACCATTACAGACTGTAGCAACGGAACCCCCATTACAGACCCCACCCCACCATTACAGACCTTAGCAACCAATAATAAAAAGTACCAGACTTTCGAGTGTTTTTTTTTGGAAAATTGATCAACTTATAATTTTGAAAAATAATGAATATCATTATTTGTGACTTGATTAATATATATGATAGTGTTTAAGATCTGCTGTAGATATCATAGATATGTAAAACACACTTATTTGTCAACCAATTCAATGATTATAATAATAAAAATGATAAATTAAGAAAAACGAATTTAAAAAAATTTAAAATAATGAGCAAATAGCAACAATGCAAACAAAAAATAGGGCGCTCATAGAGAAAAATGAAAAAATTATGTTCGAAATGCAGAAATTAGAGAAGTCATCATTCTAGATATCGATCACCCTGCAAGACAGCTATAGTCTACGAGAGATTTATCACTTTACGTATTTTGTATTAGTTTAATCAGGCCAGAGTGTATATGTGAGTTCCACATTTCAGCCCCAAAGGGGCTGCGCTAACAAGCTTTTTTTTACTGCATACACTTATGCATCTGCTAATCCCACCATAGAAAAAATGGGGCATACAGCTATATATGATAATAGAGAATTCTAAAGACCCTCTAGAACTCCCTTTCTATTAGAAATCGAATGTTGGTTTTTCCTTTAACCTCAGATTGAAATCAAATAGACCATTGTATGGAAATAAGATATTTTGTCTTACTGACCTCTTGTTAAAATAAAAAGTAGTACAGAAAACCTTTCGTTTCATATTCTGCTATGCTTTCACTTTTATCATATTGTTGAATTATTATCCAACCAGAGGTGTTTCGAGTGGAGGAGTCGAGAAGGCATCTCAATGTAGAAAATTTTCCGTTTTGTTCCAGCTGAGTTTCAGTGTTGTATTATTTTATTTGCTCACGAGTTCCCAAAGTAAATGTTAACTCCTATTGCCAAATTTGATCAATTTTAGCAAAAATGGTCTAATTGATTTTTTGAGTCCTTAAATCTCCCCATCCCCATAACTCTGGTGACCTCGAAACCTCCCTGAATTCAGCGACACAGTTGAATTATCTGAAACAAACGGTAAAGTGGCTCAAATTTCCATCAGTATTTTGCTTGATCGAAAATTAAAATAATTTCTATATTTTCTATTCTCATTTATACTTTGGTATAATTACTTAAATGATGTCAAAACAAAGAAACTCACTTCTATAGACAAACATTAATCAAATTCTTCATCTCAGGAAATATTCGAACTACCTGTGATAATGATTACTTTTGCACCATCAGTTTGTTATAAGATATATTTAAGTCTTTATTAAATCATATTTAATTTTAAAAAGGCATCATATTCGTTATGACAATCAGTATCGTAATTCTCAGATACTTGAGGATCAAACGGGTAGCCTTTTTGCAGGCTTGACCTGCGATGCCTGCCTATATTTTTCCATGTAAATATCACGATAATAATAGAAACGAAATAGGCATTAATCTTCATAAGAAATGCAACAAATCACTGGAATTAATTAAGATGACTACAGTAAATACTCTCTAATGAAAGCATGCAAGAGAATTTTCAAATTTTCATTTTACGACGCACTGTAAGAGGAAGAAGAATACCCTTGTCTTTCGGCTACCTTTCAGTAGCGGGTGCTATCCAAGAAGAGTTTCGAAAGCCCGATGTTTTCCTACAAGCACTACTAACTGCAACTCTGGACAGAAGACCAACCTGACTCAGAGTTCCTCCCGCTTAAACACTTAAGCCCCCCATGTATACTGACAAACCATATACTAGCCATAAGGGCCTTTTGTGTATGCCACACGTAGTCAGTGTGCTATCGGATGGGTGGTCCGAGACAAACAGCCGCTAGTAATTTGTCCAAAGTCATTCTATGTCTGCTGGTGCAGAGGTTCGAACACACTATCTTGTGGACATGTGTCGAACAGTTTAACCATTCAACCACAGCGGCTGCACTTTAAGATGCTCGCCAAGTGGTCATTTTCGAGAAGAAATTGTTCGGGAGGAATTTGGGGTATTCAGTACATTGAGGTGATCACATTATATAGACGTTTACAATGTGTGCCTGCAAAAACTGCGGACATCCACGTACATTGCCAAAGCTGCAAAAAAAGATAGAGTTCGAAACGAATTTCATACGAGCACTTATGTTTACTTTGGTTTTTACTTACACAAGATGTTTTACAATGTAATATTAAGGTAACTATAATGATCTTTTACAATTAAGTTCAAAATAACCATTGATGTTCGTGTCATCCGCAGTTTTTACTCGCATTCAAAAATTATCTTTGGCTAGCTTAATGCCAAATAATCCAGAAGAAATGGATAGTTTTTATCTAATTTGTTCTCTATATAATCTCAATAACTTTTCTGTTTTCGTTCGAAAATATATATACGCCGTAAAGTTCTCTACAAAAGCTGTATGAATGTTATATTACAAAATATAAAAATAGAAAGGCGCACGAAAAACATTAAAAAAGGCTAAAGCCGTCATCTATCTAATCAAAAAGTGTGGATTGTGTCATTTTTTGTTTTGTATGCTAAGATCTGAAAATCTGACTACCCACTTTGTAGACATTGAAATGCTCTAGTTTCTGTCTATAATTAATAACAAATTACACCACCATCAGCTGAATGAGGATTCTTTTCTTTATGTCTTATCGCTAAAATCATCACTTTTGAATAGCAGCTTCGGATCATTATAGAAATTTCTTACATCTCTTCCAAAGGAGTGTATTTAGAACTTGAACTTGTTTTGATTTGCAGAGATATTGTATGTCTGTTATATCCAAATTGGTAAATCCCATTAGAAAACGTTCAATAACTTTGTTTCATTCGATAGGCTGAATGAAACTATAAAATTTACCATGTTAACTAGTTTATTCCAAGAAAGTTATCATTTCTATTGTAACACTAGGTTTTGATGAATACTATGAAACACCAGAAAGAAGAACAAACTAAACAGCATCAGGGATCTTATTTTCATATATTGTGATGTTTGTGTGAGCATTTAGAAACAGTTTAAGCACGTGAAAAAGTACTTTAGAAAGTTGACGGCTTCAGAGTTTCTTAACATTTTTCGTGCAGTTTTTCATTTTCATAAGTTCAAATAAAATATCCAATGCAATTTTTGTAGTGCATTTCACGTCACATTTTTTGGCGTAAAAGTAGAGGAAAAACTATTGAGAATATATATATATAAATTTTCACATAAAATTATTCATTTCTTTTGGATCACATGATATTTGAGTGTAAAATATGTTGTATAAGTAAAAATCAAGGTAGTAATGAGTGCCCGTATCTATAAGAAAGGTTATATTCTAGTTGAAAAACAAAAAGCGCAGCCTAGAATGGGTGTCTGTGCATGTCCGCAGTTTTTACAAGTACCTGTTTATATTAAAAGACTCCAGTGTAGATTAAACACTCCCAAATTGAAAAGTGATGATATCTACAAAAATAAAGACAGTAATGCAGAGGGAAAACATTGGGTTTTTGTTCAAGAACATTTTGAATGAATCTGATAGGCGAAAACGTAAGGGAGAAACGACGTTCAGTAACTAGTAAATATGCAACAGAAAGAAGGACGACAAGTAAATTAGCATAATCATGAAAATTTATGTTGACGACCTCTGCAGAATGGTAATGGATTTGATTTTCTAGAAGGAAGTACCTTCAATCTTCATTCTGAAATATTTATCTAATTCATCATATTTAGATGTTATTCTTGAAAATCAACTCATTTGTATTGGTTTGCTGGCAATATATCGAATTTGTTAGATAAAATTTCGACGACAAAGAAAAAAACACAGATTAGGCAGGCAGGATTAGTGGCCTGGTTGGAACTTTGGTACTCATCTTCAATTGTTCACAGAATATTTAGTAAAATACTTACGCACTACACTATACGAAAAATAGTTTGCATTAATGTAGTAAAGAAAATTGATGCAATTAAATAAAATAAAAATATCACAAAAATGTTTTAATAACCTATCTTTTTTGTCCTTGATTCTCTTCTGTTGAATCATTTATGATAATTCAATGAATAGTTACTGAACGAAAGGGAAAACGTTTGTCTATTTTCAAATGTTAATTTCTCAGGTAAAATTCAATATTTTCTCAAACGTATAAATGATAACTGATTTGATTTCATTCACCAAACTTACACAAATATATTCTTCTACATTCAAAAACACCTGCTTTTCTAGTTCCATTATTAAAATAACCAAGATTATTTGTGTATTTGTTATAGCATTTCTCAATTTCTTTGACTAATTTATAACTCATGGTATTTACTGGTATTTTACTGTTGTGAGTACGCGTTTTTGTTTACTATTAATTTAGTTTCTAAAAATAGAAATTTGATATCTATCCTGTATACTAAAACCATGCATAAATTTACACCAATTGTATCTCTTAAATTCTTATCGTGTTTATTTCAGCCTTTATTATTTGTTTTATCTTTCAATAAAACAAATGTACTACAAGAATACTAAACAGTATATCGAACTATCAGTAATTTTACAAAAACTACTAGGGCAAGCAAAATCTATATATGCATACTCAGAAAACAGTCTATATTACTAGGCAAGCACTTCGTTGTCGTACTTAGGTACTAAGATTAGAACACGGTTATTATTGATCAACACTTGCAGCACTTTTTTAGTATGGGTAATTTATGAATACTCGGTTATGAATGCCTTCTACAGCTCGTCGAGTTAGTCCCAGATTCAGACTCGACCAAGCTTTGATCTGAAAATCTCTTCTTGGTCGTGTCCAGATTCAAAATCGATCCGACGAATCATACTGTTAAAGTAACAGTCAATTATGACTTGATTATTATAGGATCATTGCCAAGGTTGCCTGGAAAATGTGGAGGATACGTTAGTAACAGAATACAAACAATCGAAAAAAAATCTCGTATCGTCAAAGCTACTGTCAGATTCAGACTAAGACATTTCGTTGAAATTATGGATGCGATTCGAATTCAAAGTTTTTGAACTCGATGAGTCCTATTGACGAATTCGTGACCAGTGACTTAGTAAGACAGCGATAACTCACCTTGCCTGTCTTAAATCTGATTTATTATTTCAGAGAATAAAATTAATTTATGGCTATTTGAAGCAGCTTTTTAACTAAATATTTATTTACACTTTACAAATCAATTGTATTTATTCTAATAGCAAACAGATGAAAAATACATGCTAGCCGTACATAAGAAAGAAAATATTCTAATTTGTTTTTGTTCCACGACCAATATAATCTAACATTGCTGTTCGTAAAAAATGTAATCGTTTTTCTTCATCATGTTTTAGTCGACTAATTTCTTGTTCACGTTGATTTAATTTTGTTTGTAAATCAGCCAAACGTGTTTCAAGTTCACGTATAGTATTTCGATCATTATAATGTTGATCTATGGATAAGAAAGAAAAGATTTCAACAACAAAGAAAAAATGGAAATAAGCTAATTACCTTTTAAATCATTTTCTAATTGTTTTATACGATCTTTTAATTCTTCATTCATTTCAATATCTTTTTGAATGAAACGTAATTTTTTTTCATGTTCAGTTTTAAGTTTTTCTCGATTTTCAAGGATTTCTGTATCTTTTCTCAGATTTACCTATGAAAAACAAAATATCAAAAGAATTAATTTAATCAAGAAAAAACTACATACTGTTTGAACTGATTCTATTTGTCGTTTTAATGTTTCAATTTCAACTGATTGAAAATTTATTTTTTGTTGAAGATCTCGACTAGATATTAATTGTTGATTATAATGAGACTATAAAGATCAATATATTCGAATACAAACATTCATAAATATAATAAAATTTTTACTTCAAGTTCTTCTTTTGTTGTTGTTAATGAACGCAAACGATCTTCGAGTTCATGTTGTTTTTTTTCTTCTTCATTTTTTAGACGAAGTTTTTCTTGTTGTAGAATTTCATCATGATTTAGTTTTTGTGTTGATATGGTTGATTTTAATGAATTTATTTCCTTATTTTTAAATATAAAAAAAACATAATTAATTCAAATAGACAAAAAAAGTTAATGAATATTCTTACTCGTTCAAGTGTTGTTCGAATATTTTCAAGTTTTGTTATTTGTTCTTTGAGATTTTGTTGTGTTGTTTCATAAGATTCTTTTAAACGTTGAATATCTCGTGTACTTGTTAGCTCATGATCTTTTAAATCTTCTTTATGCTTTAGTTTTAAACGTTGATTTTCATCATCCAATGATGAAACTTTTAATTGATGATCACGATCATTGATTGTTATCTATTGAAATTTATTAGTTCAAAAAAACAATTGATATAATCAATAATAACTTACAATTTCTCGAAGTTCATGAATTGTTGTTTGTAGAGTTTCATTTTTTCTTTCAAGATCATGAACTTTTTCGCTTAAACGTCGTTGTATTTCTAAACTTTCATTTAAATCTCGTTGAAATTTTTCTTGAATATGAAATAATCCCTAGCGAATAGAAAGCAAATTGTTTCGATGAAGATTGATTATGGAATTATTCATAAGCGATATTCAAGTATTGTTCATTACTATCAAGTTTTTTGTAAAAAAAGATCGAATAATAGAGATAAAGTTTAAATGATCAGCCAGTGTTTCGATCATTTACTTCATTATCTGTAGACCTATTCTAGCCTATCGTGGAAGGCGTTGTTTTGGTTTACTTCTACTTCCTAATTTTATAACTGCATACTAGACCAGACGCTAGGGTTCGATGCATGTCTTTTCAGTACAGACACTTCAAATTTTCAAGAAACTTCAAAACTGTAGTCTCTGCTATTTTTTTCTCGATTATGGTCGATGCCAATGAATGATTAGATCTATCTACTAATAAATGATTCTCTAAATCTTTTTCTAATCAATTGAGATTATGAATCTGAGCTGTTAAGAAGTACATAGTTCGAAGATGTTTGCGATTCCTAAGGAATCCCACAAAAATTTTAATCATTCGATAAGATACACAGTGCATAACTTCATTTGATCAGGCAACTTTTCAATATTAATACACAATTCTGGAGAATACAGTACATAATTTATAACACTAATATTAAATGTACAATACTAATCTACGCATGTAAAGAACAAAAAAGTAGATGTAATTTTTAGTCTAACTGACAAGATTATCTGCCCAAACAACAGAACAAGTGTGGCTTGAGTTAAAAAAAAACGGATATTTTTCTTCTCCACTCTGTTGCCAATCTATAATGATACTTAATCTTTTCTTGCCTTTGGCTATCCTAACTTATACAGTAAAAGTTTTAACCAAACCTGTCAAATATTAATGACCCATAAAGCAAGAAAGGGTTAAGCTAGACATTCTTTATGAATAATATGAATATTTTCAATTTTTACATCTTTTTCTTGTTGATATTCTCGTCGAATTTGATTTATTAGATGATCTTTTTCAATTTTCATTTTTTTATTTTCATTTTGTGCATCATTATATTGTTGTGTTGCTACAGTTAAGTCTGCTTCAAGTAATGCATTTTTTGCTGATACAGCATTAAATGCTAATTTTCGATCATCTAATGCTTCTTGTAACTTTTTGACTTTTTCAGCTAAAGACCTATCAAAAAAATAAAAATAAAAATTCATTCTTATTGTTATTACAACAGAAAATAATTTATTTTTACTTATTTGCTTTAAGCATTGCTTGTTCTTGTAGCGATACACGTTTAAGTACACTTGTTATTTGTCGATCTTTTTCTGTATGTATATTTTGTACTTGTCTTGCAAGTATAGCCATATTTTGTGAATGTCCAAAATGTATTTGACGTTTTTCAGTATTCTTAGATAAAGCATTAGCTAAATTTCAAAATTAAAAAAAAATTACATTAATTGTATTTTAAAGAAATGTAATAGAAAAAAAAAGAAAC